CTCCCCATAAACTTATTACAAATTTACAGTCACTATTGAAATGAATTAACAAGCATCTAAAGTTTGTTCTCTTCTTCACTTATGGTTGAAGACATTAATTGTATCCTGGTTGAAATTAAGACAATAAATGCTATCATTAAACTATATATCCTGGAATTTTTTTATTCATATTTTTTGTAGCTTTAAAATATAATGTATCTTAAAAGTTTTCCAAATCCCTTAAAATGATTAAAGGCGAGTTAAATGCTATTCTTGTCTTTAACCTTGTTTTCTTCTCATTTATGGGAGTTTCTACTTAAGTGCTTTAGGCTAATGAGATTAAAAGCTGAGATCACCATATTGGCACAGCCAGTACTGCTACTCACCAGCATCACTACTTAACTTGCCGCCACCAAACAACACCACCTCCAGCAGAGTCACCACATCACCATCACACTACTAACAAAAACATCCCTTGGATTTACTCTCTTAATAATTTTGGTACCCTTAACATATACATGTTTAATATTTACTTTTTTACCATTTCAATCTTGTGCATGAGTGCATGATTTTCATTTGAATTTGTATTGCTCTTTTACCCAAAAAGAAAAAGGAAAAAAAAAAAAGCAAAGAAAGAAAGAAAAAATTCTTGTAATTTCTCACCCCAATTTTTTTTGTCCCATATCAAGCCCAATATCAGATATGTTTTTTTTATTTTTGATATTACTGGGAGTTAGTATAAAAGAATCCAACAAATTGGATCATTTATTTGTGCCATGATTTCTTTTACCATACAAGCTCACTTTTTGAATTTTAATATGATCATTAAACAATCATAAATAGACAGGAAAGGCATCTAGAGAAATAAAATGATGGCTGTGGATTATAAAAATATCTTCTTATCAACTAAATAAGAAGAAACTAGGTAAATAAAACTACATTAGATTCCAATTCCATTTTGTTTATGTGAAATAAAAAGTGGATTAGATTTGTACGATAATTAACTTTTCCCCAGAAACTAATTTCATTGTCTGAGAAATGCCTTGTACTCAACCTATATTAGGCTAATGCCTTGCCTCACATAAGCTTTCCCTCCACCTTTTGGAAACATATGTACAGGTAAATATGCTCTTGAGACACTCCCTCGCACTCACTTTGTTCCATAAAACTAGTTCTTTTGATGATACCATAATGTTTAAGGAAAATGCTACATATGCACCCGGACATTTAGTTTGCAATGATATGTTGACTTTACCCTCAGTTTTCTTAATATGTGTTTTTTGTTCCCTTGTGCAGTGTTGACAGATCTCATCTAAAGAGGAAACTGGATCTTGAGTTCCAGCATCCTGAATAAGAATTATTTGTGTTAATCTTACTGGATTTGGCAATTTCTGTGAGGATGGGTTATTTCTGGTCCTGCATTTATGATGTATGCTGTGACTTTCTTGAGTTCGTTGTAGTTAAGTGGCGGCATCTCCCTTTCTCACGTTGGTGTGCCAGAGCCTCCAATTGGCTATTTTCTGCCTAGAGATCACAAGGGAGCATCACACTACTAATCATTGCTTTTCTTCCCCACGTGTTTGAGGTTGTGGCTGGTAAGTCATAAATAGTTGTTAAACAAAAAGAGAGAGAGAGAGAAGATATGGCTCCTTGGTTTTTTCGGAGAATCTACACTAGTCTATGATTGGTCAAATTTTGAAGTCCGAACAAATTTTTAACTATATTCTATACTGGAGAGAAGTTGGACAATTGCTCACGGTAATTATTTTCCAATATACATCGTGTTTATTGATGAATGTACTTGGTTTCTCTTGGTAAGCTAAATAAGAAAATATTACAAGGCACCTAATGTTTCTATTTTTTATGATCTTTCTGATTATTTTGTGTGGTTTTTTTCGAGAATTGTTCAATGGTCAAAAGTTATTTCATCTTGATATGAAAGCGGGCCTGTATCTAACTTTCCTATAGTCTCATTAATCATTATTATGCAATTTAGTGCCTGTTATTTGCAGTCTATATGAATGTCTAGTCTCGATTTCTACATATAGTTGGGACTAGGGGGGTTTTCTTTGATGGCCTGAGGATCTTTGCTGGGCAAGTTAGATAACTGATTTATTGCAATGCATTTTAGATCAGGTGGTTCTTATGATGCTGATTGCTGAGCAATCTAGCTTGCAAGACTTCACCCTAGAGACAATGGTGAGCTGTAATGACAGACCAAACAAAGAATGAATGCACGTTATGAAGTTCTTTATTTTTTGTTCCAAAAATAAAATTTAAAAAAGATTCTTGCTTAGGCAACCTAGCATGCTAAACCATATCCTTCGATTTGGGTTGTGGTTTGACAAACCCCTGTTCTTCTTCTTATCCTTTGAATATCTGGGAAAAATCATATATAATTTTTAGATGATTATCTCATCATTGCAATGTGAGTGGCAGTCGGCACCAGATGTGATGTATGTTTCTCTCTCAAGAAAAGAATATTCATGCAAACATAAAAATATACACGAAATAATCTTTTGTTAATTTTTTGTCCATGCAATCAGAATGAAAACACATTCTCTTTCTTTTTATGAAATACTCCTGTCACAGACATTTTTTTAGGTCAAAAACCATGCACATAGCTACTTGTTAGCATGTATATAGTTCTGCCCTGCGAAAGAATTTGCTCTAAAAAAGCTCTTGCTTTCCCCTGGTAGACATTGCAGTCCATTGTTTAAGAAAGGAAGAACATATTCACATGTTTATGGTGATGCTTGGATTTGAAGTTTCATGCATGGAATGGAAATGCAATGGTTCTGATTTGTTTTGTTTATTTCATTCACGTTTCAATCAATGGAGATGCAATGGTGCGTCTGATTCATCCGAGGGAAAAACTAGAAGGGCTCTCGGTATTCAAAATTAGACCAGCAGATAGCTCCAGCCCCAATGCTTGATGATCAGAAGTTTCCAATTAACAAAATAATAATAATTTTATATGTGGATTGTGAGGTCTTTTACGGTAGATTCCAGCAGTGTTTATCACCAAAAAACTTGTTGATCGCGCGATAATTTTGTTCAATTTCTTCCATGTCGTGTCCTTCCCTAGAGATGTGGCTGCTTGGAGACCACAGTTTCCCCTATGATTTTTCACTTTTAGGCAGCTAATCAGTGCATCCAGGCATGTTAGTTCAATTTCTTCTTTCTTTAAAAAAGAATTTGTTTTTTAAAGCTAATGGATTTTTGGGTTGTTCTTGTTGGCATGGATCATAGGGGGAAGAAGACAGAATCTTACAGTTGGGGTCGTTTTTGGAGCAGAGGTTTTTTTATTTCTGCTGCCAGGCACCACCATTTCGTCTCTCTGTCCTTTCCATTTTTATAAGAAAAAATAAAAAATTCAAATCGATGGGGGTTTTTTGGTTTTTATTGCAGACAGAGATGATGGGAGAAAGATGAAGGATCTTCGTTTACCTTTTGCTTATCGATGGTTCTTTAGAGGTTAATCATTATTAACAAAACCATCGAAAGATGTGGGGTTCAGACACTCTTCGTCTGAACAATTACTAGTTGACTCGAAAGTTTTTCCATTTCTATACAATTCCTCTCGGAGCTTATCTTCTCCTCATGCTTCATCTACTCATTGATGATATATGATTTCTTTCTCGCAGAGAACAACAATCCTTTTCTACTTCTACTCTCGAAAAATACTTAAACGAGTATTAGTACCTCAAAATTAATCAGTGTAAAGATGCTCCGAGGTAACTTGCACACATTAATCAGTGTAAAGATGAACGATCATGCTTGCCCTCCCTTGCTTCCTAATGGTTTCTTCTGTGTCTGTTTACATTAAAATCTTCCAGAGGTAACTTCGAAATTTGAGTTTGTATCGGTACCTCAAGATTGTCAATTGATCCGCAACGGTGTCCTCTCTTATGAAATGACCTAGAGTTCTACTATTTCTCATACAAATTAGACACAGAAATAGTCTGACATGCATTCGTAGATGGTGGAATAATATCTGCGCACACCATTGAAGGGCAACTTAGTTTACAAAAAGTGCTTCCTTTGAATATCCCTTTCCTTTAGGTATTCTTTATTACGGGATTACATTAACTTTTTATTCTAGCGTTCGCTTTACCTAAATTTGAGGATGATGTTTTTATTATGATATCACACTTTTATATTTAGATAATAATTCAGAATGGTATATATATTTTTATTTTATTTTTTATATAATTATTTCAATCTAACAACTTAAATTATAAAGTAACATGTTAACTCAAGTTAACCATGTTACTCAAGTTATCTTGTACTGCTTTACATGTTTTTGTTTTTAATTTCATTGTTGTTTTTAATAGTTTTAAAATTGAATTTTATAATTTTTTATTTTTATTTACATATATTTTTTTTTACGTATATCATCATAATTATTTTTTTAAAAAAAAATTCAATCCATTTACTGATATTGTTACCTTTTATTATACAATTAAATGATGTCAATTGATTAAATCTAGTTTTATATTTTTTTATTATATAATTAAATAAAATAATAAATCCAGATTCACATTTTTTTTAAACACGGTAACATCACATCACTTGAATATTTTTTTTTATCCTATCTAGTAACTTTAATTCCTGGTTGACAGGTCACGTGCGGCTTTGTTTCATTTCCCTGATACGTCTCAAGACCACAGCTCACCATACCTGATATCAAGAGAGGAAATCGATGGATGGATGGCAATGAATTCCCCCTAGGGAAGTAGATAGCAACCATGCTGTGTCATTATGGCCGATGGAACCACTGTCCCCACAGAAACCAGCCATTGCTACAGATGCATCTATCAGGGCCCTACACAAGCTGAAGCGTCAGAGTACATGCACGGTCAAAGTTCAGCCTAGAGAATGGGGTGGCAAATGCAGTTATGTTAATCAATCTTGCGTTAGCAATGGGGTATCTTCAGTTGATTACTCCTAAAGAATCCAAATTTTGGCTATAATACTCAAGAAAACTTTAGTTAGTCAATCTTCACTGGATCAAGACCTAAATCAGAAAATGTATGAGCCACATTTAACATATAGTTCAGTGTTACCATCACGAAGAAAGCATACATAACATACATTTCAGATCTCAAAAATAATAAAATTCAATGCAAATGGAACAACACTTCAAAGTGTAACAAATCCTGTATCCTACTTCGTAGCCTGGGAAATAATATTGCTTATCGAACTGGCCTGCTCTTTCGCAGCCTCCACCAATGAATCCTGTAGTTCAGACAAGGTAGCACTTAGATATCCTGACAAATAAACAAATTAAGAAATTTTATACGGACAAGAAAAGGCAGTACCTGAGCAGCTATTTGCCTAGCAACTGTTTTCTTGCTGGACTCTTGAAGTTCACCAGCGATCAGAAGCTCGTCCAATACATAGTAGGCCTTCAATGTTAAAGCAGCAAACAAATAAATAAGCAAAGAAACTTTCGTATCTATGCACGAGACAAATAAAATATGCTTTATTTACTAAGACATGTTTGGAACAAACCATTTCTGGTATCATACCGCTTACAGTATGGGGTATACAAAAATTAACTTAGAAATGCTTGAAACTAAAAATAAGTTGACATGAAAAACAAGCAGGCATACCTTATGGAAGTTGAAGATCAAGTCCAACTCACAGACCTGTAAGAAAATATAAATTGTTAAACTATCAATAAATGCGAACCACTGAATGGAAACTAGAATGGCAGTCAAAAAGACTTTACAGTCCTTACAATAGCCAGAGTCTAAGTTCACTCACACTGCCAAAGTATCGGTCCAGAATCTCAACATAATGGTGAATTATTTCGAGGACCTCTAATTCGTTGTCCTCCTGATCAATGCACATGCAGAAGTAAAGGCTAGCATACCTGCATGATATGCACATTGGAACCAACAAAGTTTATCAGCTCTAAGGTGGATGGACGAACATTTTCCAGATATTCACTGCAAAACACTGAATCATCTTCTAGCTTTACCTTTTATAAACAACTTTGAGTCCTCTCCATTCAACAAAATTACAGAGCTTGGGTCCTCGAGTCAAAATTACTCCACTGAGCTCACGGATGACCTTCTCAAGATGCATTAAGATATACATAAGCATTGATAATGTAAGAAAATGCACATTAATTCCAGAGAAATATCAATACAAAATTGTTCAATATACAACTGAACAGTGTAAAATAGGCATTGCAAGGTCCAAAAACTCATAAAAAAGGTAGCATTTAAAAAAAAAACATATCTAAGAGTTGATGATCTACAACACAACAGTCTCGAAGAGAAGATATTATTGACATTACCTTACTTCTTTCCTTCTGTGTATAAGGTGAATACCATTTTGTCAATCTCACTTTTCCTTGTCGACTAATGAGAAGTACAAATTGAATCTGAAACATATTGGAAGATGGGCATTAAAACCACCACTAACATAGAAAATTTACACCTTGCAATAGCTGAAAACAAAATAATTGATTAATTACTACATCCTTCTGGGAAAAGCATTTATCTGAAAATTAGCATGGGATAAAATGGTTTATATTCATATCAAGGTTGATATGCATAAGAACTAATACAATAGTTACTACTTTGTTCACCGGTTCTCCGTGCCCCTTTTCACTCCAGACAAGCGAGACAACTACTGAAACCAGAATTATCATGTTGAGATTTTCATCTCAGAGAGTTCCTTCCAAACAGTTTCATCTTCGACATACATGTTCCGAATCAAACCATGATAAACTCACTCTTCGACAGCAAACCAAGAGATGAACTTCATTAACCTTGTATCTAATCAGCTATAATTTCAATCATTAACCCTGTATCTAATCAGCTATAAGTTTCAATTATTAATATTACCACTGATCTTCTAAAGTACATAAATGAGATATCGGGTGTCAAATAGGTCTCGCCTACAAACTCCAGTGGTTTTCAATGGTAAATAATATAGACATACTAAACCTGCCATTCCAAATTCACCTGGCAGATCACATTTCATCCAAAGCACTATACATATTGCATGCTAATCCAACTGCAGCAATTTCGGAGAACAAATTCATCACCCCCAAAACTATAACAATTTAATACATATCCTAATCATCGCAATTCTGACACTACAGCCAAAGCCTTATTTCCTACCTAGTAGAGTCTAGTACAAACAACCAGTCAGCTCAGCCCTTAAAGATCCTCACTAATCAATCATTCTTCAATAACATAGACCGGAAATTGAAAAGAAACCCTCGATCCCAGATACAGTGAGAATCGACAAGAAAAACAAAACAAATCATCAAATGTTACTGTCAGATCTAAACTCTTGTACATGATGAAGGAGAATATTGGTTAAGTCAGCATCAAATTCCAATCATATTCAGTGATCTCTTTAACATTACAAATACCTCATCTAATAACAAAACCCAATAGATAAAAAGAGGAAAAATAGAATGGGAATTCAAAATATAAGAAAGAAAAAGGGTTTTCAATCTAAGAATTACCATTTTGTTAGTGTTAAGCAATTCTGTGATTGACCCAGAAACCAAAATCTCCAAAAAAATATACAGAAAAGAAGAGAAGATCGAACTGAATTCAGCAGATGGGTCAGTTGTTAATTAAAGCCCCGCCTGGCAGCTTGCTTTTACGTCGAAAATAAAAAAACAGGTGCCAGTTCGAAGTTTAATAGTTTATGTTATGGAAGAATTAAAAAAAAAAAATAATAATAATAATAATTTTATTAAATTTTTTTATTAAATTTTTTTATTGTTTTTAAAAATCTTGAATGTTATGTATTAAAAATAAATTTTTTAAAAAAATAAAAAAATTAATTTTTATATATTTCTAAAATAACAATTTAAAAATCAACTACCTACTTTTAATCACCTAAAAAACAGGGAAGGGCAGTGGTGAAATGGATTTTATCGGGCCGGTCTTAGAAAGATGTTTTTTTGGATAATGGCTTTTAGCCCAAATGTTCAGAAGACTTATTTGTTTGGGTCTGTGGGCTTGATCCACTCGAATCTTTCTATTTTACCTTTGGGGTGAAGTACTCTACCCTTGCATAATAGGATAGCGGGTGTGATCTATAATTCTATATTTCTCACGCATCTCTGGGGTTGCTTTTTATAAATATTGTAAGAAAATTAGTGATGAGGTTCATAATTAATTAATCTAATTTATTTTATTTTTTTCAGTTAAGATAAATGGTGATTTGATTATAAAAATTCAGGTTATTAATAATTAATATCTGTAAAGAAATTTCTTAATAATAGATATTGAAACTTTTATATATTTAAATTAATAACTTTATAAAAAACAAATTTACATGCTAAAATATACCTATTAAAAATAAAAAAATTATAAATTTTAAGTTCATCATATATTTATAATCCATGAGTTTTAATTTTTTACATAGATAAATGGTGATTTTACTTATAATTTTTTATATTATATTTTATTTCAAATAATATGTATCACATCCGTATAAAATATTAAAATATTTATATAAATCCTTTTTCTTTTTTTGAAAAACTCATTTACAAGATGGTTTCCAGTCTAGGAGAAAAAATAAAGTTTCAGAAGAGGAAATGAAAGGTACTTTTCGGGCTTAAAATAATAATTGAAAAAAAAAACACTTCTATATAAGACTTAATAACTAAAATAACATACCACTTCATTAATTATCCTCGTTCATCTCTAATACTATAATGATAGAATAAATGAGTACACACGAATCGCTGATGAAACACACACTCACGCAATATAAATATACCAAAAACACTTTAATTTATTCCACAATATTAGAAATTAAATACATTATAATATATTACAAAAGCACTTTATTTTTTTTT